AGTAAAATGATAGTAAGTTGAAGATAACAAAAGAGAAGATTAACATTTTTGTTGAAAGAATGACAGAAGTTTATGTAACGAATATCACTGAAAAGTATTTTTGAATAATTAATTGATTATTGACAGTTCATTCAATACTAAGTTATTATTGGTATATAGAAAAGTTAGTTTGTTGATTTTTCTCTTTTTTTTTTGTAATATATGAAATTAATAACAAAAAGAAGAAATAATAATATGCATTATAGCATTAACAAATAATAAATAAATACAATAATGACATTTACAAAAGAGTAAATATGCTATAGAATTTTACCGATAATGTCCACTACAGACAATTTCCTGCCTTTTGTCCACAATCTCAACTATATTTCATTCCTTCTATGTTCCTTGTTTTCATTCATGTATTTACTACAATCATGCAAAAATTTTGCCTTCGGTCATTTTGGTGATGACAATACTACACGGAGTAGGAAGCGGGGACAAAACGATCATCATTGTGGAAAGTACTGCTGCTGATATTTTAGAGTTGATGATGATGATGATGATGATGATGGGGAAAGCGGGGAGAAGGGGAGGGCAAGGGGGAAGGGTGGACAGGAGTGGACAGATGGACAGGGGGATAGTTTGAATGATAATCGGGAAGAAAGAGAAATTTCTGTCCGAAACCTGTATTTTATTATACTTCCATTTGGTGATAATAATGTTGACCGGATAAGATTTGGACTTTGTCATCGTTAAATGAACACTTAGAAACAATGCAGGAAGGAAGAACAATCTTATCATTAAATGAGAGATAAAAGATTGAAAAGGGGAAAAGTAATACAAAAACTGTTTTGATATGATTTTTTCTAGCAAATTTATTAAAAAAAGATTAATTTCAAATACAAAAATTAAAATGCATTCAAGGAAAATTTTATTTCTTTTCTTTTTTTCAATTAAAATATTTATCCATTATTTATTTCAATTCTTGTAATTTTATTTTGCTATAATAGATTAAATGATAATGTTAATAATAATAACAATAATAGATGATAGTAATATATGGTAAGTATAACAAAGTGTTTATAAAATATCATATAATTTAATAAATTTAAAATATTCCACCGAAATTTCTCAATTATTAATTGATAATTTAATCGATCATGAAATTTAAGGATGAAAGTTATTATAAGCATTTCTTAAAAATTCACCTATTGTTGCGCTGTTATATTTAATTCTATCATATTTAATCAAGTAATTAAGGGAAATTTTAATAGATATTCTCCTATGATCTTTTCTTCTATTAATAACTGAAATGAATGTTATGAACTATATTTTAGGTTACCAGGTCATGTCATCTAATTTCTGTTCCTTCTTGACAGTGCGCTGTACAGGGAGACAAAAAAAAAACATTCGGCATAAAAAAGGAGAAAAATTAAATTGCAAACAATAATTAATATCAGTTATCTGTTGAAGTTATCAGTATACAATAATATTTCATATCACTTACAGCAAAATTTTATTCTTATCCATTAATTAATGAATTTTAACTATAATAAGATATCATATATCATTATACCGTAACATGGTATATTTTATAATAAGTTTCGATAATGACAAGACATCACTGAACTATATTATCATATTCAATGATATTGTAACATTATAATATATCAGTACTTTTGGCAACTATGATAAAACTTTAAATTTGATATCAAAAATTATTTTTCACAATTTTAATGAATAATATTCCAGAAAATTTTATTTTCCCTTTTTAAATGCAAAATTTGCATGATTGTTTTTGCTGAAAAACTCTATCATAAAATAAATCTACAAGTTGTCGATTAATGTTTCTTAACCTTTAACTTAAAATTTATTAATGATTGAATAAATCTATTTAAATGAAGTAATTGATTTACCATATTAGGTGAGGGAAAT